TTACTTTCAATATTTTATTACTTTGTTAATTTATATTTTAATATTTTTTTTATTATTATTATATATTAATTTTAGTTTAATTATTATCATTGTTTCATATTATTTTATTATTATATTATTTTTTATTTTAATTTTTATCTATTTTATTTATTTTTTATTTAATTATGTTATTTTAATTAATATTTATTTATTACATATTATTTTTTTTATAGTTTGTATTTTTTATATTTATTTTTGATTTATTATTTATATTATTATTTTGATATTATTTTTTTTTTTATTTTTTTATTTATTTTTTATTTTAATATTAGTTTTATTTTTTATTAGATTTTTAGATTAATTTCTTTTTCTTCATATTTTATTATTATTTTTTTTTGATTCTTTCTATTTTTTTTGAGTTATTATTTATACGTATTTTTTATTCTTTAATTATAGATATTCTTATATTTTTTTTTTTATATTTTTTTTTATATTTTTTTAAATTTTTTTTTATTCTTTTTATTTATATATTTTATTGTAATGTATTTTAGTTCAGTTTGTATAATTAGTTTTTTATATTTTAATATTTTTATATTATTAATATATTATTATAATTACTTTTTTTATTATTTATTATATTTTTTATTTTATCTTTTTTATGCTATTTTTTTTATTTTATATTTTTATAATTTTTTTTATTTTGTTTTTTATTTATATTTTTTCTTATTTACTATTATATTATTTATTTTTTATTTTATTTTCTATTTTTAATTAATAGTATTTTATTATATTTTTAATATTATTATTTATTAATTTTTTTTTATTATTTTTATTATATTTTTTTTGTTTATATTATTTTATTATTTTTATAAATTATTATTTATTGATTAGTTTTTTTATTATATTTATTTATTGTATATTATTATTTTTTTAATTATATTATCAAATAATTAAATCTCTCAATTGATTTATTTCTTTATCTTTTATTTCCTTTTTTATTTTTTTTTATTTTTTTATATGTACTTATTGTTTATTTTCTTTATTATTTTTTTTTTATTACTTATTATCATTATTATTATTGCTTTTGTTTATATTTGTTTTATAGTATTTTGATTATTTTATTCTTCTATATCTTTATTATATATTTTAATTCTTTTTATTATATTTATTTTATATCTTAATTTTTACCTATATAGTTTTATTATTATTATTGCCTTCTATATATTTAATATTATAAATTATTTATTTATTATTATTTCATATATTTTTTTTTTTATCTATTATATTATTATTTGAATTATATTTATATTTAATTTTTTTTATTTTTTAATTATTTTATTTATTTTATGTATTTTTTATATATTAATTTATTATAATTTTATTTTTTATTTTATTTTTATTTATTTTATATAAATTTTTTTTAATTTATTTATATTTACTTTTATAATTAATTTATATTTTTTGATTATATTTATATTATTTTTTTAATTTATTTTTTTATTAGATGGTAGGTTTATCTTATAATATATTTTATATTGGTTTTTTATATTTATTTTTTTTATATTTATATTTATTAATTTTTGTTATCTATTACCTATTTATTTATTTTTTTTTAATAAATTGTATTTATTATATTTTTTATTACAATTATCTTTATATATTTATTTATATTGTATTTATAATATATTATTTATATTTTTTTTTTTTTTATATTATTTATTTTCTTTTATTATTAATTCTTTTTTTTATTATTTTATTTTTAATTTTTTTTATTGATCTTATTTAGTATTTTCTTTATTAATATTTATTTTTATATCTTTTTTATTTTTTAATTATTATATTTATTTATTTATTTATTTATTTATATATTTTTAATTCTATTAATTTATATTACAAATTTTATTATGTATATATTTTTAAATAAATATAGTTATTTTTTTGTTCACTTAAACATCAAATATTTATTTTAAAATTTTATATTTTTTATATTTTCTTCGTAATATTGTATTATATATATCTAAATTTTTATATTTTTTTATTTTTATTTCTCTATTATATATTATTTTTTATTTTATTATAATTTATTTTTTTTTTATATTTATATATTTATTTTTTTATTTACATATTTATTAAATTTATTTTATTTTATAATTTTTTATTTATTGCATATATTTTTTAATATATATTTTTATTATTATATATTAATATTATTTTTTTTATATTGATTTATTTCATTTTTTTTATTTATTTTTTTTTTTATTTTTATATATTATATTTATTTTTTTAAATTTTTTATTTTTATATTTTATTTTTTATATTAATTATTTTATAATTAAAATTTTTATTATTAATAATTTTTATTTTTTTTATTATTTATTATTTATTATATATATATTTTTTTCTTATTTTATTTTTATTTTATATATGTTTTTTATTTATTTTAAAATCTAATATTTTTGTTTTTATTTTTTTATAATCCGATTTTTTATTTATATTTATTTATTTTAATTTTTTATTTTATTTATTATTATAATTTTATTATTTTTATATTATTGATATTTTTTATAATATTTTAATTTTACCGTTTTATTTTTATTATTATATTTTTAATATAGTTTTTTTTATTTATTATTATTTTTTATACGTCATTTTTTTTTATTTTATATATTTTTTCTATTATTTTTATTATTTTTATTTATTTTAAATTAGTTTTGTCATTATTTTTTTAATGTATTTTTTTAATTTTTTGCTATTATATCTTTAATATCTATAATCTTATTTATTATTTACTATAATTCATATTAATTATTCTTTTTCTTTATTATATTTTTTTTTTTTATATAGTTTTATTTTATATTTTTTTATTTTTTTTTTATTTTATCTTATTTAAATTTTATTTTTATATTATAATTAAAATTTTTTTTTATTATATTATATATATCATTTTTTTTTTATATATTTTTTTTATTATTTTATTTATAAATAATTTTTTATTTTTTTAATTTTATTTATTAATATTTTTTATTGTTATATTTTTTATTATTATTTAAAAATATATTTATTATTTATTTATATTATTTTTTTTTTAATTTATTATTACTTTGTATTTAATTTTATTTATTATTAATATTTAGATTATTTTCTATTAATTTTTATATTATTATATTATTATTTTCTTAGCCTCTGAGATTATATATGTTAGCTTCTGAAGATATATATGCTATAGGCTTCTGAGACTTATATATGTCAGTATACTTCTGATGATATATATGTATAAGCTTCAGAGATATATATGTATAGCTTCGTGAATATATATGTATAGCTTCTGAGATATACATGTATTGCTTCTCAGATATACATGATATAGGCTTCTGAGATTATATATGTATAAAGCTTCTGAGATATACATGTTAGCTTCTGAGATATATATTGTATAGCAGGATTCTGAGATATACATGTATGCTTCAGGATATTATTATGTATAGCTATCTAGATATATCTGTATAGCTTTCGAGATATATATCTAATTAGCTTCTGAGATATATATGTATAGCCTTTCTAGATATATCTCGTATAGCTTCTGAGATTATACCATGTATAGCTTCTGAATATATATGTATAGCTTCTCAGATATATATGTATAGCTTCTGAAGATATAATATGTATAGCTTATGAGATATATATGTTATAGCTTTCTGAGATATATGATGTATAGCTTCTGCAGATATATATGTATAGCATTCTGAGATATATATCGGCTTCTTGTCTCTCCGCAGCGGACAAGTCGCTGCATCACGTGATGAGAGGACTGAAGAAGCTGAGAATTCTCGTCGCACTGCGGTGTCCGAGGATAGGTGGCGCCGACCTGCGGCGCTGCTCCGCACCAGCTGCAGTCTGTGGAGCACAGCACCGACGTCGCCGCAGACTACGGTGGCCCGTAGGTGGCGCCACCGCTGCAGGCCCTCGCAGATGTCACGACAGACTACGGTGGCCCATAGGTGGCGCCACTGCGGACCCTCGCAGATCTCTCGAGACTGCATTGGCCCTTAGGTGGCGCCACTGCCGCGCAGATCCCGCGACAGAGTGCGGCGGCCTGTAAGATTAACGTCGCGTAGGATTGATGGGCTGTACAATTAGACGACTTCTTGGATAATTAATCTTCTATGCAAATTAGGCGAACTGGTGAGGGTTGTGTCAAACAATCTGTCATGTGACATTGTGATACGTTTTAGCTTCATTTAATAAACCTGTATATATACAGAGTAAAACCGTCTCCATATCCGTCCGTATTTGGAATTGCTCGTGACCAGGAATTGCTTGTTGTTTGGTCATTTCGCGTTGATGTTAGCAAACAATCAATTAATGTGATTCAGTCGATGGTCACCATATTAAATACTGGTGTTTTTTTATTAAAGAGTAAAATATAGATAGTTGACCGGGATATGATACAATATCGCGCGCACTCACGCGATGTAAATGACACGAGTTTTAACTGCTAACTTTAATGATAAAATATAACCTAGTTCTATCTCTAGTTTTTAACACTCGTCTCGGACAAGCCTTGACCATTTCAAGTGTTGACCTTCAGTCGAATTCCAGCGACCTCTCCACCTCACAGGATTGACAGGCAACTCTGGATAATCATTGTTGCAATAGAACGTTCTAATCACGATTGGACATTCTAAAAGACAATGTTTAAATGAAATGCTGCAAACTCTACAATTTGCTGCACGCGCATGGCGAAAAGCAAACGCTGATCTACATTTTAACTGACTCGGTCCGCAATATCTTGGGGGCAAGGACTTGGGGAGCATGTTGCTTATAATATCTTGCTAATAAATATGGATATGTCAATTGCAATCTCAGTCGGGCGAATGCAGGAAGCACCACCAGTAGGTGGCACTTGCTAATATTATCGTTGTCAATATGGACACGTCAGTTGTGATGTCAGACGGGAGAATGCAGGGGGCCATGCTACACGACCGCATCCGTTGATTAAGTCCGTCGTTGCCACCAGTAGGGGGCGCTGTCAGTAGAGCACGTCGCGCGACTCGTACAAGTAGTTTGGTGTGGCGGGCGAGCGAACGTAGCGGGCGTTCGATTGCGGGCCGCGGTGCGGCGCTGGCGTCACTCGCAGCGTCGTGCGATACGTGCTGCCCTCTCGCGAGAAGCGCCCGCTCGTCGGCCTACTGTTCAGCACGCTTCCCTCTCGGCTGCTGCTGTTGCCATGGTGACGGTCGTGCATGGTGCTTCCGTCGCCTCGATCGTGAGCGACGAATTTATCGTGTAGGCTGCTTCCCTCCCGGCTGTGAGCGAGGTGTCTGTCATGCAGTACGCTCGATCCGTCCCTGCTGCATTTCTCGCTCGGCTACAGGAGAGCAAAGACTGGTGTTAGGGGGCTGGAGTGGACGGATGGATAGAGACCTTCATGTAGGGATGTTAAAAGCCCACGCGCGCACGCACAAACACGCACAAACACACACCAGGCACCACGAAAGCACACGGCACACTCAGCACGCACACACACACCCTCCACTACACACACCATACAGGCGTAACACGCTAAGGACATACACACCAGTCCACACACACACACACACACAGGCGTGCACACCACACACGCACACACCGCACACACACCAACACACAACACACACCCAGCCCACACACACCAGGCGTGCACAAACACGATACACCACATGACACACACAGCCACACACACACACACCACCACACCACCACACACACACAGAGCGTGCACGACCATACATTACACATACACACACACACACACACACACACACACACACACACACACACACACACACACACACACACACACACACGCACGCACGCACACACACCCCCTTCCCCCTCTCACCTGAAAGGTGCTGCCCTCTCTGCTGCCGCGGTCGCTGGGACTTGCCAGGCTTCTTTCTCTCACCATCTGACCGAGTCTTTCCGCCAGCTCGTGGCTTCCCGGGTTGAACTGGCTCCCTCCGTTATACACGACCGCGTACTGGTGGTACACGCCTGGGTAGTGTGCTGCGGCGGCGGCGGCAGGGGCAGGGTCGGGGAGGGCGAGTTTGGCGGGTCCGGAGAGCGTGCTGTACGGCTTCGACGTGAGCGTCTGCTGCAGCGCGTTGACGGGCGACTTCTCCGCCAGTTGCGTCTCCTGCGAGCGACAGATCGGCGGATGGGTGGATGGACGCAGTGACGGGTGAACGAGTAAAAGTATTTTCTGCGGCGACCGACCGATTATTCACGAGGATGGACAGACCGACGCCGTGAGAGATGAACGACTGAATGGGCAGCCCACCGATAGCAGGGCCGACACACACACACACACACACACGCACGCGCGCGCGCGCACACACACACACACACACGCACACACACACATACAATTCTAGTTTAGCACCCGCAGATTAAAAACCGACGCATGACAGACCAGACGCGGTGTTGTCGCCCAAGTTGTCAGACACATCGTAAAATGAATGTTACCGCGTTAAAACTACGTTTTATTTCTGACAACTTGCCCCGAGTTCGTCAGAGATGAGTGGTCCCTCCCTCTCACCTGCTTATAGCGTTTGAAGATGTAGACTTTCGGTAGATATATGCTGAGCATGATCACTGTCGCGTTGACAAAGTTGCCGAGGCACACAGCCGGGTCCCTGAACTCCATCCGACCTTCAGGTGTGCGTGCGCGCGCGAGAGAAAGAACAACAAGCGTGCGCGTGTTAATGTTAGTGAATCCGACCTTCAGGTGTGTGTGTGTGTGTGTGCGTGCGTGCGTGCGTGCGTGTGTGTGTGTGTGTGCGCGTGTGCGTGTGTGTGTGTGTGTGTGCGTTGCGTGCGTGCGTGGCGTGCGTGCGTGCGCGTTCGTGTGTGTGTGTGGTCGTGTGCGTGCGTGCAGTGTGCGTGCATGTGTGTGTGTGTGCGTGTGTGCGTGTGTGTATGTGTGTGCGTGCGTGTGTGTGTGTGTGGTGTGCGTGCGTGTGTGTGTGTGTGTGTGTGTGTGTGTGTGTGTGTGTGTGTGTCGCGTGTGTGTGTGTGTGTGTGTGTGTGTGTGTGTGTGTGTGTATGTGCGTGCGTGTGTGTATGTGTGAGAGAGAGAGAGAACAACAAGTGCGCGTGTTAATGTGAAATGTTTTGATGATATCAGTGATATACAGATGTCGTGTCAGCTTTCCCTCACCATTAGCCGGATGAAGAGAAGCGTACTCTCGAAACCTCGCTAAGTAAAATACGACGCCTCATTCTATTTCTTTCTCTCTNCTTTTACGTCACATGATCCCGGTGACGATTTCTAACAGTACCGCGTGCGCGAGTAGCGCCATCTAGCGAGTAGCGCCACCTAGCGCTAGTAACGCTACCCACCGCGGGGGGTGGCGCCACCTACCGAGGCAGGCAATGCAGGTCCATGCGATCCAGACGATGACGGAGAACGTGAGGCACATGAGAATCCAGCGAGCTTCGTAGTTGTTCGCGGGCAGGTTGCAGCACAGCCACGCCATGGCAACGGTGAGCAGTAACAGACCGATGACGTAGACTAGCGACAGCACGAGGGCGCTGTGGTAGCCGTCCGTCGGCGCGCACACCCACGCCCCGCCGACAAACCTGGCGGCAGAAATCATTAGTTATAGTAGGGACCGCACGAGGGCGCTGTGGTAGCCGTCCGTCGGCGCGCACACCCACGACGACGAAAACTAGAAGTTAATGTAATACATAAATGAGACACTCTGCTGCCACACGAAGATTCATCGTGGTTGTCATGACGACGTCCCGACGCGCGACACCGACTCTAGATCTCCGCAATGCTGCAGAATTAACTAACAGATCTTGTAGGCCTACGTAATACATCATTATAACAGTCTTCTGCCACGCGATGATCCATGCCAGTCGTCATGGCAACGCCCCCGCGCGCGACACCTACTCTACGGCTGGCGGTACTAGGATGATCCATTGAGCCGCCACCATGCACTGCACCAGCACGAGCGACAGCGAGATGACGAGGAGGCCCCCTGGTGTCGACAGCTTGGAGTAGCCGGCGGCCCGCTTCAGCTGGTACTGGTTGAGTCGCCATCCGTTCATCACCTGTCGCCAACGCAAAACAAGCGAACGTCTGAGACGTTGGCGCTCGGTACAACTTGACCGGCACTGCACATACACACGGTGGAGGTTATAAGGTTATAAAGAGAAGCGATACGAATGTAGTAACATCGTGGGGAACTGTACGGAATTGAATTGCGGATGTGCGAGTTAATGCTTCCTTAACAACAAGCTAAGGCCACACACGTACGAAATCGAAAAAAAAAGAATACGCACGTGCGAACCTCGAGATTAAACTATGCTTAAAAAGATGGCGGTAACGTGTAGGTGACCACGAATGAATGAGTTAACACTGCTTTAATAGCAATTCAATTTCGAAACATACAGTTTTAAGAACGCGTTATAATGGTCGCCTTTAGCAACTACTGGGCTAAACTACGACTACAACTACGACGCTTTGCCTGCTTTGCGCGCGGAGTTCTCAAATAGACTGCTATTAATACGTAGCACTCGTTGTGTTTTTCATCAGACGACAGTGTCAGGTGTAGACTTACCTTGACGAAGAACACATTGCACTCGTCATTATTCTCATCAGACGACAGTGTCAGGTGTAGACTTACCTTGATGAAGAAGCCGGAATAGATGATGGCGTAGGTTACTCCCAGCCCGACCCGCTGTATGACGCACGTGGCCAGCATAGGTGCAGAGATGAAGGCAAAGTTGATAGCATAGAGCAGACCGACTCCTACCAGTACTGTGTAGCCTGTAATTATTATTATTATTATTATTATTATTATTATTATTATTATTATTATTATT